GTGTGAGTGTGTCTGTATGTGTGAGAGAGTGTGTGCGCACTCAGTCAAGTGGAATGGGAGGTGCTGCAGGGAATACAATAGGAGGCCTATGGAGGTAGCTAGCAGACACGGCTCCAGTCTCCCATTAACCCTTTAGCTGGACAACTTAAATTTACAAAGTCTGCCTCCTCCCCTACACCGTCACCGTGTCATTTCTTTCACACAGGCTCCTTCTAAAGTTTAAACCTAAGAAAGAAAGAAAAAAAAAGCAATTTAAAGGTGTCAAAACCAGTGGAATTCTATGTTACATGTGTGGAAGGTAGAGAAGCAGCGCACACCTACTTTATAGAATGGATTGCCAAACATTTTCCATGCCATGCTCCTAAAAAAATTCATTTTAGACCACAGTCTCCCATTAGTTTAATTATTTCCTATTGGAACCTTGTGTGAGAAGTATTCTGTTACATATGAACTGCTGAACAGAATTGATGGAAACAGTGAAAAGGGGGAGTAAAAGCTGTGATCGAGTAGTGTATTGTTACTCAATGTCTACATGTGCTAACTAACAAGGAGAGGAATACGTCTCAGATTAAACGATTCCATATTTCTATGGGAGAATGTTTAAACAATGCCAAAGTCAAAAGCTCATGTTCATCTGTAGTCCCTGGGTGGAGGCCACTAGTGATGTGTGTCTCTTGGCTCAGTGACTACAGACCTGATTAGTCTAAAATCACGTTGTCAAACTAAACTCTGAAACCTAAAACCAAACTCTTATTGTATCATAAAAGAACAAGGGTTTGTGGCAGATGTTGGTCATTTCAGAAATAAGTCGGACCTCTGCACACAAATAGTGCAACTTATTAAAAAATACACACTGGTTGCTCCAAGGGCCGTAGCAGTATTTTTACATGCTATGTGCCATTGGGTTCTATTCATTTCATTATCGTATGAAAAAAACTGTCTGACACTTGAAACTGTCTTGCGATGAGTCATCTGTCATATTTTATTTTTGGCACTTCATGTTTTTAAAATAAGATTACAGTTGTGTAGTGTGGCATTTGGAAGTGAACTGAAAAGAAAACAGCTGGTGTGTTGAGGTCTCAGTAATAAGTTTCAACATCTGAGAAAACATTAAGACACAAACAGGTTAAACACCAGTCTGAAACTGTCACACACACTCACAGAATATTTAAAATCCTCCATCCTAAAACAACCATACACAACTTACTCTTTGTATTTTTCCTCAATAATAAAACAGTTAGCTAGTTGGCAAGTCACAACCTGTTGGACATGTGAGTGTCTGTGAGTGTGTGTGTGGTGGATGTGTGGGATGGAACAGGACAGAATTGTGTATCATTTGGATCTAGTGTAGGCTCATTGGAGGTTTGTAGTATTTTTAGAGTTTCTGCTCCTTTTTAAAGTGATAACATTTTTGTTGATTGAACATATCTTTGTTAACTTTTTCATTCAAGCATCTCGCACCAACATGGACTGTGGTATCATTGATAAAAACACAGATAAGGGCTGGCAGGAGGTGAGCACGAGGGCAAGTGCACACCAGCTCTCTCCCACATCACCACAGCAGGAGTCTTGTTTCCATTCTTTCCTGTGCTGCCTTCCCCCTTAGAAGCTACCTCCCCGACTCCACACAATTCCATGATTGTGTGGCCCCTCCACCCCCACTGTTTTTTTTTTGAGAATAGTGGAGCTGCGTGGACATGAGGGGAGTGGGAGACAGGATATTGCATAAGCTTCATTGACCGACTGTTTAGTTTAGTGAGACAGCTGGATTTGCCTCGCTTCCTTGATCACCCTGATTCAGTGTGAATCGACTGCCAATACACAGCTCTGGTCACGTCAAGTGTTGCTTTTTAAATGTATAGATTATTGTTCAAGTATTGGGTTTGAAATGGTCCCATTTTAGGAATATGCTTGATTAGAATATACATACACATGAACGTAGCATGGCTTTATCCAGACAGTTGCACTACACTTTTCACTACAAGTTTTTTTTAATTGTAAAAAAGCACAAGAAGGCAAATTGAACAGTTTTTGGATTGTCATGGATGTACATAAAAGCTGCTGCAGATGTTTTTTTTAAACATTTTTTTAACTGTATGCTCAACCGTAGCTGTCATTCTTCTTGTCCTCCACAGAAAATGCTGCTGAAAAAGAACTGCGGAGGGAAAACGAGGACCATAAAGATCCGGGTGAGTTCATTTTTATTCAACTTAGTGTCCCACAGTAAATAAACAAAAACCTCTTTTGTTAGGATGAATGCACGGTATTTTCAAAACCATGTTTATGGCTGCCATGTAGATAAGTTGACCATACAAGTGCTATTAGTCTGAATACACACACACACACAC